GCTATATTGTAGATCTTCCTTCTACCGAAAAGATCGCTCAACGGCACCCATATCAACGAAAAAAGTCCCATGGATACGAGCACCCCAGCATTGGTGATATTGATTATCTCCGACGTTGTAGAGAGATCCGTCGATATTTCAGGGGTAGCCACAAATAGGGAGGTAGTAGAGGAAGTAATGACGAATGCCATCCAGCTGACCACAAATAAAATAAAATATTTCCGCCAAGTTGACAGCTCGGTAGTAGTTCTCTCTGCTGAGTTTTCCGGCTCAGCGTCCGGCCCTGGGCTCGTACAATTGAACATAGCAAGTTATAAGATGCTCCGTAAGTCATACGTGATCAGGGTTGGATAGGGGGTTAAGAAAGAAGACAATGACCGCCGCAGATAAGGGGAACTTGTGGTCTTTGGGGCATGATTATTAGAGTTCTGTTACCAGATATTTAAGAAGGATCATAACCATAACAGTATAAATCAATAGGAAATATTGCAAGAATTGCGCCGATAAAGCAATACTAGAGCTCGGCATACAATACTAGTGGAGTCGCGGTGTGTCGTTCCTGAGAGCCGCCTCGGAGGCTGGACTACGTCCCCGAACTACGATGATGTTCGTCTAGACCCACGATGGTATAAATGATTTCTCTGGGTAGTTGGTTTGCTTATTGGCAAAGGGAAATAAATCTACTATAAAACTCAATTCCCAAAGATGGCATCCCTAGCATGACATTCTTAGATGGTCGGCATGTTACGCTTCGGCATGGTTGTGAAAACGCCGAGTGGGGACTTCGGCATAATAGTACTTTGGCCGGGCGACTCTTGGTCATTTGTGGCTGCGACATCGGTACTAAAACAAATTTCTATATAGAACCATAGTTTCGGCGCGGACGAGAAACCACCGCTTTCGGTATTATATGATGTATGCCGACCAGAGCAGGCAATAGCTCAATCGAGATAATCACACCCAATAATTCATAAGGCAGTAGTGTCTATGCTAAGAGTCGTAGCAGCAAAGGACACGACGTTAGATCTTTCACATAGACTAATGTTCCTTATAGCGCTATATTCTTCTTAGGTGAATGCTACTACTATTTATTTTTGAAAAGTGGTGGCCATAGTATGATCACGCACTGTATGGGAAATACCGAGCGCAATGGCTGAGCAAATCTAACAGAGGTATTACATTGTTGATGACATACTACTCCCCGCGGAATCTGGCTTTGCTGAGAAATGGCTCCCACAAAACGGGGTTGGTAGCAATGGCGTCGAGAAGACGAATTTCCAGACAGTCGCTAATCTTCTTGCTTCCACTGTAAGTCCTACTACCTACCGAGACTGGTAACGAAACAGAGACTCAAGTAAACTTCAGTGCCGTTCTTGAAAGGCAAGAGTGTACATGGCGTGCATGGGGGTCGGAATGTAGCATGGACCGCCAACAACACCCGGATTCCAGAAAAGGATTGCCAGGAAAATGCCTCCGCTCAAACATCAAATTCTCGTAGAGTATCATTCAAAATTATTCCACGCCCCCAGATGATGCTTGAATTCGAACTTGCTGGGCCAATCGCACATATCCAACATAGAGGGGAAAGGGGAAGGTATACGATGATCAAGGGGGGTTAGGGGTCTCTATCATTACATACATCTGAATATGAACTGCTATTGTCTATAAGCAGTGACGGTAAGACACGATGGGGCTATCTCAAAACGAGTACATAGTGCTGTGGCAGAGATGGGTATTTCCAATCACTCATTAAGGTCTAGCCATATATCTAAATGTCTACAGGAATAGCTTTTGACTATTGTTTCCATCCCGGGCCGTAAAATACATATATTCGTAGGACTCTGGTGTCTCTGACGAAATAATGCAATAGTTGCGTTTCTTTTGCGACATGGGATTATATTTATATAAGAAATCCGGATAATATGTTGAGGCCTTTTAAACGATACTTTATAGTGTAGGTAACGGAATGTTTTGTTCAAGTCATGTTGGTCGCTGAAGCAAATTGTGCATTTAGTAAACGAACATTTAAACGTCGACTAGGCAATTGGCTTTCTAGATACCCCTTTAAATGGGATGCCAATTCTCTTTAATAGTATCAAAGATAACCCCATGGTCCTCATGTTGTTTTAAGCCTGAGACAATGATAACAGCAACTATACCCTCGACGCCTTTGACACGGATAGGGACCGCACCACCATGTATGGCATACTTTTGGGCCTGCTCTGGGCTCATCCCATACTTCACGCGGAACGCCTCTTCGTCCCCGTCGAACTTGCAGTGCATGAACCACGTGCTAGCTCCGAACCGAAGCACGGTGTTTCTCTTCCGCTGGACCCAGATCTCGTTATCGGGAGCAGTCCCCGAGCCGACAGCGGTCTGAAAGAGGACCTGGCCGCTGTTGGCGAGCGATATTGAGACAAGGGTGGGCTTCTCCAGTGAGAAGGGTAGAAGCCTTGCGTATAGCAGATGACCTAGCTCCCAGGCATCTTCGGCTGTGAACGAATCAAAGACGAAGGAGTCCCATAGTCCTTTTACTTCAAGGAGCTACTTCTGAGTCAGCCATTGAGAGATAGTAAAAGAAATAAGTCTCACATACATCCTCGGGAGGATTGGGGATTGGTGATGGTGGTTGAGGGGTTTGCTGGACGGAGAGGACCTTTCGAAGTCCACATCCGGAAGCGGGATCCCGACGGGTCAAGATAGTCTGAGACATTCTGAAAGATTACTGCTTAATGTCGAGTTCCTTTAGATCTATTCTAGAATCCGTTTGCTGTATTTTCTGACGGTGAGATTGACAAATGGTATATCTGGAGACTTTGGAAGATTCGGCTGGATGGGGTTCTAATTGCTCCACTTTCGGACCGATCTGACATCAGTCCCGGCTGGTTGACTAAGACTGACGACCTATAATTAAAACGATCCCGGTGTCCAAAGACAACGGTGAGTCTACTTTCTGTTTTGGATGGCAAAAATTACCATGAATACACGTAGAGAGTTATCGATTCAGGAGATGAATTGAGGGTTGTTTATGGCATGGATTGCACCGTTCCGAGCATTCTGAATTTCTGAACATTCTCTAAAGTCAAGCCTACTAACATAGAATACTTCCTCAATTCATCCCAAAATATATCAGTTAGCCTCAGATCTACCTTGGAAGGACTAACGATGATGAGGAATTACTAAAGTTCCTAGCTCGAATGTCTCGTGCATTCATGAATTTCTGCCTACCACTACTCGGGCAATCTATTACCTACTTATCATAGATTATGATGCTTTAATTTTTTTCGTTATTACTTATAGATTCAGCGTATGTATATCCTATGCGCCATAGATGCGTCGTTGTGTACCTAGGTAGATAGCACCCGGACGTAAGCACATTCATCATCATCATCATCAGCGCACGGATACCAAGGCCTAGTTCTGCTCCCCCAACTTATCAAAAATGGTGATCACCGTATGCCGAAGGGGTCAGGGGGCCATATATACCTACTAACTCTAAGTATACACATTTCTTATATGAAGACTTCAGTGGTACTTTACGTGGTTTTAGCTCTTACATGTATAGAGATAGACCTCGTTACTGGATATATTGTCATGGGGCTAGTGTGCCGTAGCACATATATATTGCTTGTCTTTTTCTTTTTACTCTCAGATAGATTGCGCAGCTGAGACGGCTTGTCGCCGACAATAGACATATCTACCCTTTCGATCAATCGCCGTTATAAGTGACACTTTAGTTGTCTTGATTCTCTTTGATCGATTAGCTATATAGTGGCTCCCCCTCTTATTACCTTTACCCCGACACCCCGTCCCAAGACAATATCTCAAAAGTCTTCCGAATAGTGGGTGTAGGCCTCACTGCGCAGTATGGAAGACGCTATATATCAGTCTCAAATTCTTTCAATTTGCAGCTCCTACGTCTCTAGCCTTCGATACTTGGCTCGACTGGCTGGTTGAGCTGGGATCAACATCAAGCACTTATCCCTCGTCAAACAAAAGCCTTCAGGTAAGCAACAGTGCTTGCATCGCAGCTAAACAACAAAGAACGTTATTGGTGCTTTATGCGCAGTGTATCTAGTGGTCCGGAATATGTTCCTTGTCCAGCCTCTCAGCTCTTTCAATGAGTCTTCTCTTTCAACTTCATCTAGATCATGGAGACAAATGCACCAAGTTCGCCGGCATAGCTCTCTCGCCATGTGAACGAAAAATCCTCACTGTCAGATACATATTCCGACTACTTTGTTACATAACCATCAATCTACTCACAAGATAACCTCGCCTAAGTCTATAACCACGCTGAGCTAAACTAATACACACCAGCCCGCCCATCTTCAACCCATCAATGTCCCAATCCCAGCCTCATAACACACGCGAACACCATGAACAACACTCGCTGCAACACCACCTAGTCCAAACCCCCCGTTGCGCCTGCACACACTGCAAATGCACCAACAACGCGCTCTTAGAGAACCAATCGCACACGCACCCATTATGTCTGATCTGCTCGCGCGCGGAAAAGGGCGGCAAGAATGCGCTATCATATACGGGGTGCCGGTGCGTGTGTCGATGCCGGCTTCCGCGCAGCTCCGACACGCTGCTGCTGTGTTCGGACTGTGGGGAGCAGAACAGATTGGATCCGCGACGGCATCGGGTCCATGGGCTCGTGAAGACAAAGGGCAAGGCGAAGGGGAAGAAGATCGGGGTATAGGTGCATGGATAAAATAAATGGAGGGGGCAAAGGGAGGACTTTGCTTAAGGCTAGGGACAAATAGCATGATCGCAAGAGATATACACACATATATATTGAGAACAATACTACTAGTACTTTCGCTTAAGTGGCATCATGGGATTTAGGACCCTGGATTTTATGCTTATCAAAGAAAAATTAATGGAAATATCATCGTGGGATTTAATACTTTTAGTTGTTGCTGGGCATCTTAGACTTAAGTGGAAATAAGTCACACCTGGTAAATCCAAGTGCACGGACTTGATCGCAACAAGGCGCTTTGACAGAGTGGCCTAATGTGGTGCCCTGCTATCCTGAGTAGTATAGGCATTCTCTTCGGAGGCGCAGGTTCGAATCCTGCAGGCGTCGCTTTCCGAGAACACACGCTTTGAATCCATTTTTTTTGGCCTCAGGCAGCGTTTAAACAGGGCCTTTGGACTTTGCATAATTATATATTACAACAATACAATGACCTTTCAATTAATTTGCCAGTCAAGACTAAACGCCCTGGGCTAATCTGATTAAATTTAGCAAAACAGCAAGACAGCTCGCCATTAATCTATGCAGATAACAAGAGTGGGTTTTCACACGCGACAAGCCATAAGCCATTTAGCAAGCTCATAAACCTTGGCATCCGATAGGGTTTATTAAATGATAAAATGCGACTAAGATAAGTATCGGTAAGTCGGTGATTTCAACTATGGGAAATTGGGTTTCCCATGGCGGGAATTGAACTAAAGAGGAGCTTTCTCTCCGCTGTCCAACGATAATTGCACGAAGTAACGCCCTAACACTAGATCGGCTACTCCAGCTTATTAGAGCCTACATCGCTCCAAGCTAGGTAGTACCCGTCATGCTATGTATCTTAGCTACCTCATACATAGGCCATATCTCACAAGCAAGCAAAGCTTGACTCAAGTAAGATGAAGACATATTAGACCTGCTGAAGTACTAGCTACAAGTACCCAGCTCGAGACATTGAAGGCCCGAAGGCTCTATAATAGCCACATATGCAGGGACTTGATAGGTAGGACGCTGGTTCGCTTCGTCGCATGTTATCTACACTCGTTCAAGTACGTAGCGCATATATTCATGCAAGGTAGGTATATAAACACCCGGTTACCAATAAGGGGGAAATGCCATGTAACGAGTTATTGGCGATTATAGGTATTGATATGAAATAACTCGTTAATTAATAGGTAGTGTCTACATACAACTCATTTTACTTAATGACAAACGAATCGATGACAATGCCTAGCTCCAACTTTATAAAAACCGTCTGGGGTAGAACTCGACGAACTCATCACTTACCTATGGTACCTACTTCGATACCTGTATGTAGGCTGATGCACTAAAGTGGACTGCCCGCCATCTGTCTCATGTATTACCTAGAGTGCCCAAAGCCATGGCCAGAACCATGGTTCAAGGGCGCCACAGGGCGACCGGCTATCTGGCATATATATGTATATGTAGGTTTTCCTGAAATGCTACCTAGAATCTACCGTGGCCCCCTGGCAACTGCTCAGTGATAAATGTACTAATGCCTTTTCCCTGATTCATTCCCTTCCACGTTAAACATCGTGTACCCGCATGTACTTGCATGCAAATTTTGCCTCAAAGGGTATCCAACCTATATAGGTTAATGTAAATAACAAATTGCGCAAGCAATGTAGATGTATCAAGCTAGCCGGTCATTTTGCGAGCCCTTATGAGCAAAATTCCGAGTCGTGTCTTCAAGCAGCGTTATATACCCTCGAAGCTACATATCTCTCTTGAGTTTCTTTACCTAAACAATTTTTACGTACGAATGTATATTGCATATGTGAAAGAATGTCACTGTTGTATGCAATATCTTATATCTTAAGAGCCCAGGGTTCCCTCTCCCGCCACTGTGGTGTATGCACCTACAACTACCTAACCTGCTAACTCCTTTTTTTCTTTTACCACCTTGATCTCTTCACTCCCGCAAAGATCGATCGGCAGTGCGCAAGATCAGCCTAACGATCTTCACGTAGCACAAGAAACCCTGCACTTCATGCACTTCTCTGTCTCCACTCCTTACTTTAGCTCGCAGACCTAAGATCTAGTTCGCAGTAGTTGCAGGCGTTCTCGCCTCCCCTCCATTTTCCCATTTCCCTCCCGATCCAAGATTGCGGAGGGCCACGAGAGCTTAACAAAGTTTTGTTTAGCTTATTGAGAGGTCTGGCCTTTTGGCTAATGCTGTCTGTCCTCTATTAGGGCGATTTTCATACTAGACTTATACTTTTAAGCATTCCTCTAACTACCTTATTTCGGCATACTAGCCTCGGTACCTTTCTAACTTAGATTATATCCTGGGAGTACGAACCATCGTAGCTATCGTGGTGTACAAGTATACATTACGGCACATGGAAAGCCTGGGGGAACAAGTTGAGCTACGTTGAGTTTGGTGACTCGTATGGTCACCGAGGACCTGTGTCTCGATCGAGACCCTTCGAGGCTTAGTAACTCGCAGCCGACCTAGCACGACTATTAGGTCGTTTCTGTTTCGCATGAGAGATGGGGTCTGGCCAGAAGCTGGCGAGCCAGCTGCCCAAGGCGGACACGGTTGACTGTACTGTTGGTGAGTCTTCTCAGTCCAGCATACAGCACGAACACGGAATAGGATCCCATCTCCAGTCGTTGCACGAATCGCGCGATCATGATGAACCCACCGAGAGACCTACACCAGAAGCCCGCGCCCCTACGACAAAACCTACCTCCCTTCCAACATCGGCCGATGAACTTCCTGCAGCGATTGGCCCCGAAATTCCTCAGAGTCGAGTCGAGAGCAATCCTTTGTCTTGGAGTATGACTTCAGATCGTCACCTTGGCCATGGTAGGAGCGCCAGCCTCAACGCAGATCCCTCAGACAGAGTATTTCCTATTCGTTCTGTCGTCAGCGTCGACCAGTCGCAACCTACTCCTCGAGCAGCAGCGCGAAATCCCGGCGACTTTGACTTCCCACGCCAAGAGACTACATGGGATGGCCGTCGACGATCAAGCAACCCTCACGTCTTGGCCGAGATGACTAGAGGATTTTCAGGGACTGAGAACGTCTCAGCCTTCGACTCACCGTCCCCGTGGTCGCCAAATGGAAAAGATGGAACCGCGAAGGCGAGAAGAAAGAGTACTCTTTCTCATATTGTAGCTAGGCCTACGGCGAATAAGGAACGCTTGGCTGCTGGATCGCCGCCCCTCTTTAATGACGGGTGTTCGGATACTTCTGACAGAATAATGGAAGATGGATCTTTGTCTACAGGAGGGAGTCAAACGCCAGAATCCTATGGTAGCAGGACTCCAGATCTTAACGAATCGCTTGTCACGGTTCGTTTCCGCTACGCAGTGACCGATGAAGGCCACGCAGTCAGTAAGTAGAATCTACAATCATCCAGTCCTAGTTTCATCTTGTTTAACAACAAGGATTCGCTATTGGGGTACACTCAGGAGCAAGAAGCTCCTAAGACGGGTCCCAGGATCCAGGTAATTCCCAAAACTATATTGAAAAGCAACGCTGACTTCGGATGTTGCAGTCACTGGTCGAGACGGTACTCTCCAACGCTGTGAAGACGAGCCAATGGTACGTATAAAGTGTTTTCTGTTTGGATACCTCAAATTCCTAGTTCTCAAGATGTATTCAACGTTCTGCTTCGTTATAATAGCTGACCTCTTTTGATAGTACGTTACATGTTTTCTTATTTTCCCTCGGATCAAATCGGCCTTGTCTTGGAAACAGAGCCCGAATTTCTAGAGACAAATCCTTCCGACCCTATCATAGGAGACTAATCTTCAGTAGTCATGCGCCTGGTGCTGTGCAGGCCTTCGGTCTTCTAATTGCGTTGCGGGAGGAAACTGACGGTCGATTCTCCGTTCGATACGTCAGCGAAAACTCAAAACGTTTAATTGGCTATTCCCCGCGGGAGTTGTTTAGACTTCGAAGTTTCACGGAGATCTTCACAGAGGAACAAGCAGACAATCTCCTAGATCATATTGATTTCATCAGGGACGAGGAGTCAGATCCCTCCGCCGATGGACCCGACGTATTCAGCATATCAATTAGGCCACCAAAGAGGAGGCCATTGAAACTATGGTGCGCAATACATATCAACGATAGCCACCCAGATTTGATCATCTGCGAGTTCGAGCTCGAGGATGACCAAGAGCACCCTCTCCGGCCGCCAGAGGAGCTAATTCCGGACGAGCCCGAGGATACACTCTACCAGAAGCCGACAATGGAGGAATTCCACGAAAGCACTGAAATCAACAGCAGACCCCTTAGGGTTCTTAGAAGTGCACGCAAAAGGCGAGGAGAGGCTGGAGCCATGCAGGTTTTCGATATCATGTCCCAGGTCCAGGAACAATTAGCATCGGCCACCAATTTGGAGAAGTTCCTTAAGATCTTAGTGGGGATTGTCAAGGAGCTTACGGGGTTTCATCGGGTTATGATATACCAATTCGACTCCGAATTCAACGGGAAGGTTGTTACGGAACTGGTCGATCCCACCCACACTCGCGATTTGTATCACGGCTTGCACTTCCCTGCGTCTGATATTCCTAAACAGGCTCGCGAGCTTTATAAGCTCAACAAGGTCAGGCTGCTTTATGACCGAGACTTGCAATCTGCAAGACTAGTCTGCCGATCGACAGAGGATCTAGAACAGCCGCTCGACCTGAGCCATGCTTACCTTCGAGCCATGTCTCCTATTCACTTAAAGTACCTTGCCAACATGGCAGTCCGATCCTCCATGTCCATATCAGTCAACGCCTTCGGTGAGCTATGGGGACTTGTTGCGTGCCACGGCTATGGTTCTAAGGGAATGCGAGTCCCATTTCCAATTCGGAAGATGTGTCGACTTGTTGGGGATACGGCGTCACGAAATATCGAGCGGCTCTCATACGCATCACGCCTACAGGCAAGAAAACTCATCAATACCATGCCTACAGATAAGAACCCCTCTGGGTATATCATCGCCTCTTCTGATGACCTTCTGAGGTTGTTCGATGCCGATTTTGGTATGCTATCTATACGAGGCGAGACCAAAATCTTGGGGAAGATCGAGCAGTCACAGGAAGCACTGGCTATGCTTGAGTACCTACGCTTGAGAAGCTTTACCTCTGTGTTGACTTCGCAGGGTATTACCGAAGATTTTCCTGATCTTCGTTACCTACCTGGGTTTGTAGTCATTGCTGGATTGTTGTATGTGCCGCTAAGTGTTGGTGGCAACGACTTCATCGTCTTCTTCCGCAAAGGCCAGATTAGGGATGTGAAATGGGCAGGTAACCCGAATGAAAAGGTAATCCGGGAGGGCACCACAAATTACCTCGAACCTCGGTCTAGCTTCAAGGTGTGG